ACAGGCTCCATAGGAAATGAATGGAGAGCGAGCAACGTCGCCTCCCGTGTGTCGAGCCCTTTAGGGGAAACTATGAAATCTGTGAAATGAGCATGTGACAAATACGATCTTGGTCTCTGGACTCTGGTGGGGCCTTGTATCTGTTCCAGCACTAAGAATTAACCTGAAACATCACTGGCTCCACTGAATTCTTGCCCTAGTYCAATGCGTTTGTCTCCAAGCCCCGCTGGACTGGCCTGACAGTCAAGTTCATCCACACCAGACTGCCATCCATATCTTTATGGACCTTGCTTTGTGCACTGGTGCACCGTCATGTTGGAAGAGGAAAGGACCGGCTCCAAACTGTTACCACAAAGTTGGGAGCATGGAAACATCAAAAATGTCTTGGTTTGCTGAAGCATTCAGAGTTCCTTTTACTGGAACTAAGGGTCCAAGCCCAGCTCCTGAAAAATAACGCCACACCATAATCCTGCCTCTAACAAATTTTACACAATGCAGTCAGACAAGTACCATTCTCCTGGCAACTGCCAAACCCAGATTCAACYATCAGATTGCCAGATGGAGAAACGCTCCAGAGAACACGATTCCTCTGCTCTAGAGTCCAGTGGTGGCGTGCKTTACTCCACTGCATCTGATGCATTGCATTGCGCTTGGTGATGTCTGGCTTGRATGCAGCTGCTCGACMATAGAAACCCATTCCATGAAGCTCTCTGCAGGCGCACTGTTCTTGAGCTAATCTGAAGGCCACATAAAGTTTGGAGGTCTGCAGTGATCGACTCCGCAGAAAGGTGGCAACCTCTTCGCAGTATGCACTTCAGCATCCGCTGACCCCGCTCTGTCAGTTTACATGGCCTACCACTTCATGGCTGAGTTRCTGTCATTCCCAAACACTTCAATTTTCTTATAACACAGCTGACAGTTGACTGGAATATTTAGGAGCGACTGRATTTGTTGCACAGGTGGCATCCTATCACAGTTCCACGCTGGAAGTCACTGAGCTCCTGAGAGCGACCCATTCTTTCACAAATGCTTGTAAAAACAGTCTGCATGCCCTGGTGCTTCATTATATACACCTGTGGCCATGAAAGTGATCATGAAAGTGATTGGAACACCTGATTCTGATAATATAGATGGGTGAGCAAATACTTTTGGCATAATACTAGAGTATCTCTATCAAAATGTTGGACTGGTTGTAGACGAAGACAGTTTGGTGAGACAGGCTTTATTTTCTTCATTTTTATAAAGGAAGATTAACTTCTGACATAAATAACTTAAATAAAAATCTTTTACCTGGTTTGAAGCTCAGGTTCAGGATCAGTAGTTGGAGGATCTGTAGTTCTTGGTGAACCATGAGGGTCTGTGGTTCTGGGTGAACCATGAAGGTCTTCTGTCTTCTTGTCCTCCTCTTCTTTCTGAAAGAGATTCTCCATAAATAAGTTTTCTATTTTCTCCAMGAGCACAGATTAAACTTTTAGATATTTGTAGGGTTTGGTTTTAAAGATCTGAGAGTTCAAGTCCTCCTTAAACCTTCTTCAACACCAGATTCAGCTTCAAACACTTAGGGCCTTACCCAATCAGTGGCTACTCCCTCRCSCTACTCCCTACACACTACACTCACTGTGAAGCCCCCTCACAGCTGAACTGAGTCTCYTTGATGGCGTTGTAAGGTCTAATTATAAACCCTCCTCTTTTGAGAGAGGCTATCCTCACACTACCGGAACAGGAAGCTGTAATCACCATRGTAACAGTCCAAGYKCTGGCAGCGACTGAATGCCGGAGAACGAATGCCGTAAGATCGTCTAGAAAACGTTTTTTTAAYAGACTAAAGAAAATATTTAATTAGGCCCAAATTTTAGAGTTTTCAGACATGACTTTATGTGTAAAAAACACAGCGTAATAACTAGTCAAAACAACTGCCCTTTTAACATATTTAAAATCATTTATTTACTTTTAATTTTTTTTCTTTCTTTTTTAAATATGGACCAGGGTTCTGTGTCTTTAATAAAGTTTGAATTGATCTGAACATGATTTATGTGAAATTMTATTTGTTGGTGAGGTGTTTACTTAGTAAATATGTGTACAAAACATATGTGGAACTTATATTTATACGTCCCGTGCTCCATTCCAACCACTATTTGGTGCTGCACCTGGTGCTCAAGTCTGCATTGGATGCTGACTCGCTGTGGAGGGTTTAATAAGCCACTCGCCCTCGTATCTAACTGGTTTCAGATGGGACTCAATATGGCCAACTCTCCACGGGCACACTCAAACGGAGTGAGGAGTGAGTAGGGCGCGGGTGTAGCCACAGATTGGGAAAGGCCCTTAAAGTGGGTTTTATTAGAACCTGGTGTCCAAATGGAGACAGAGGAACAGAAAAGAGTCTTAAAACTGATCAAATACCTAAATCTGATCCCTCCATGTTGGACTTGATGCTGTTAAACTAAACTCATCTGTCATTATGGATTATTCTTACAGCAAAAGGTCTGAGTGTTGACTGGAAGCAGAGAAAATGAAACTAAAAGAAGAACCAAGAGTCCAATAACCTTCAGCTGGATGTAGAGCGCTGAGTTCCCGCTGGATTTTATGGTCCTGTGGATCTCCTCTGGAGTCAGAGGTTTAACTTTCAGAGGCTCAAGTTTTCTGCATCTAGACGTTACAAAGAGCTGAAAAGGTTCACCGTGAGCCAACAGGGGAAATGTGGACCTCAGGAGGTCCAGGAAGCCCTTCTCTTGTAGACCTCGAGGACACTGAAGGTTCTGGATCGGATATTTTTGAAACACTGGAACAGAAAACAAGAACTTCTTGTGAGGAACCAGTTTCACTGATCAAACTCTGGACTGTAGAACTTTGTAGATCACCAAACATCCTTGAATAAAAACTAAGAAGGTTTATGGAAACTTCAGATGCAGAACCAGTAAATAATTCATAGATGATATCTTACAGGAAAGTTCAACTCTCCTCCTTTACAGAAGCACTTTCAAAGAACGTTGGAGAACTTTAAGACATTAGTTTCTAACCAAGTCTGATATGCAGAGACAGAAAGNACATGACTTTATGTGTAAAAAACACAGCGTAATAACTAGTCAAAACAACTGCCCTTTTAACATATTTAAAATCATTTATTTACTTTTAATTTTTTCCTTTCGTTTTTAAATATGGACCAGGGTTCTGTGTCTTTAATAAAGTTTGAATTGATCTAAACATGATTGATGTGAAATTCTATTTGTTGGTGAGGTGTTTACTTAGTAATTCTGTGTACAAAACATATGTAGAACTTATATTTATACTTCCCGTGCTCCATTCCAACCACTATTTGGTGCTGCACCTGGTGCTCAAGTCTGCATTGGATGCTGACTCGCTGTAGAGGGTTTAATAAGCCACTCGCCCTCGTAYCTAACTGGTTTCAGATGGGACTCAATATGGCCAACTCTCCACGGGCACACTCCAACGGAGTGAGGAGTGAGTAGGGCGCGGGTGTAGCCACCGATTGGGAAAGGCCCTTAAAGTGGGTTTTATTAGAACCTGGTGTCCAAATGGAGACAGAGGAACAGAAAAGAGTCTTAAAACTGATCAAATATCTAAATCTGATCCCTCCATGTTGGACTTGATGCTGTTAAACTAAACTCATCTGTCTTTATGGATTATTCTTATAGTTAAAGGTCTGAATGTTGACTGGAAACAGAGAAAATGAAACTAAAAGAAGAACCAAGAGTCCAACAACCTTCAGCTGTATGTAGAGCGCTGAGTTCCCGCTGGATTTTATGGTCCTGTAGATCTCCTCTGGAGTCAGAGGTTTAACTCTCAGAGGCTCAAGTTTTCTGCATCTAGATGTTACAAAGAGCTGAAAAGGTTCACCGTGAGCCAACAGGGGGAAGGTGGACCTCAGGAGGTCCAGGAAGCCCTTCTCTTGTAGACCTCGAGGACACTGAATGTTCTGGATTGGATATTTTTGAAACACTGGAACAGGAAACAAGAACTTCTTGTGAGGAACCAGTTTCACTGATCAAACTCTGGACTGTAGAACTTTGTTGATCACCAAACATCCTTGAATAAAAACTAAGAAGGTTTATGGAAACTTCAGATGCAGAACCAGTAAATAATTCATGGAGATGATCTCTTACGGAACAGTTTCAACTCTCCTCCTTTACAGAAGCACTTTCAAAGAACGTTGGAGAACTTTAAGACATTAGTTTCTAACCAAGTCTGATATGCAGAGACAGAAAGACAAAGTAAATTTAAGATGTAGGACAGAGTTCATCAGGATGATTATTCCTCCATATGAGCTCCATCAGAATAAGATTCATTCTAATCTGTCCACWGCTACAGGAGATATTTTACTAACAGACATTAGYTGCAGAMTGGAGTGTTTGAKACTCACCAGGAAATGACAGAACYTTTATGTGAGGATCCYCCAGAAAGCAGAYCCTGAGACTCAGATGGTCCTCAGTGTRGCTGACTTCAGGTCCAGTGGACCTCCTGACAGAAGAACCTGAGCTGCAGGACCACAACAGATCAGATTAAAGACTGAACAGCAAATGTTAGCACACATCTGTCAACAGAAACATTAAAGCAACTCTAAAAACTGTAAAAACATACATACATACAAATTAAATTCTTCACAGAAACACTGAGATTTCTTTAATCCTTCAAAAAACTTTATTCTGTCTTAAATCTGCTGCAGCTCCTAGCAGAGTAATCCTCTCTTACTTTTAACTGATGTTCTATTTCCAGCTAAAAACCWTCAGTTAACTTTGATATTCTTGACCAGGGGTGCCCAACTAGTCGCCCACCAGCTGATTCCCAGGTGCCCATGCAGCGCAACCTTGCTGCGGAGCCTCTAGCGCCAGCTTTGAGCGTTGCATCCTGGAGTGGCTGGTCTTGATTGTAAGCTCTGGTTCTGCCCTACATGGTGAAAGTTGAATTAAGTCCCTGCGACGTTCCCCCGTGGAGCAATAAGCAAAAAACCTCCAAAAGTACGCACCGTTGGACCTTCGCCAGGGGTGGTTTTAGCCCTCCTCCCCAGGCGAGGAGCATCGGATCCCGGAGTGGCTGTTCAGGTTTTAAAGCTCTGGTTCTGCCCTACAAGCTGATACTTGAATGGAGTCTCTGTGACATTGCCCCGCAGAGCTATAAGCAAATTACACACGACAGTGCATTTTACGCACATTTTTGGGAGGAAATTTCAACCTTCATTTGCTTCTCCCGCGGGCTCTCACCATCGGATCCGGGAAAGTGAGATGACTTTGGAAAGCTACGGTCCTCCTCTACAAACTGGAGGGGGTTGCAAGTTCCTGGGWCGTTCTACCGCGGAGCTATTAACCAACGACCGGCTGAAAAAGGCACTTTGGCGGGCGATATAGTACTCAATTTACTCCGGAGCCTCTAGCGCAGGCTCTGAGCGTCGGATCCGGGCGGGAGATGGCTCATTTTAATGTTCTGGATCTCCGCTACAACCTGGAGGTGGTTGCAAGTTCCTAGGACATTCCCACGCGGAGATATAAGCAATCAAATGTCATCGGGCGAGCKCCGGCGGGTGAAACGGCTGATTTCCAGCACGGGGCTGCTTGTGTTGATGCAGGGAAATAAAAGGAAGAGGTCCAGTGAGGTGGAACCGTGGTCCTACGTCCAGCACCCACTCTCCCGCCTGGATTTAGTCAGAAACACCTGGCGGGCGATATTTCTGCAAAAATGCATAAAATTCAGAAACCTACCTGATGGATCTGTTCCAGGCAATAAAAGGAACAGATCTGATCAGGTGAAACCGGTCCTGGAAGCGCAGCACCGGGTTTTATAGCTGCCTGCGAGAGAGTTTTATATTGTGTGCTTTGATTTTGAAAAAAAGGGCAGTACTCTTGTGGTAGCCACGTTGAACCTGATAGATTTTTGTTTTGTTTTTCCTCCCCTGTATGGAGAATAGAGAGATGGAGATGAGTTCCCATGCTCCAAAGTTATTTGACTCWGTGGTTCTCACTGGGCATGTTTTCAGCCACCATAGCTCGCACGTTACAGTGAGTACTAATTGAAGGAGGTAAAAAAAATTGATCCTTTTTGTTCAAGCATCACTTTTGTGTTTCTCTGTCAGGAGTTAAATAAGGATTTTATCTTTTCTTTTTTTGTAGGTAAATATATGGTTAAGTAGATAGCTTTGTTTGACAATACTTTAAATTAAATAAAACTAGCAACACATTACATTCTGTTTATTTACTTTAAAGGAGGGGTAGGGAGACCATATTATRTTTTTTTGATACTGAGACTGGACGAGTAGCTCTCGGCAAACAGCCGACTTCAAAAGTAGCTCTTGGTTCAAAAAAGGTTGGGCACCCCTGTTCTTGACTTTTAGCTAGCCTTTAACTTCTTCTGGCAAACCTTTAGCATCTTTTAGCTAAGATTTAACTATTTTTAGCTAACCTCCAGCTTCTTACAGCTAGATTTAGCTTTAACAGTCAATTTCAGCTCCTTCAGTTAACTCTTTGAAGGTTTAGATTYAAACTCTATACGAGTGCTCATCCAAGAGTTGTGATTCCATACTTTTTGCCAGGGGTTGTATTAGACGTCAACACTCAATCCACTGGAACGAGGCACAGGAATTGATAAACGGCAAAAACCTTAGGTTTGGGAAAGCTCTCATCGCCCTGACAAGTACACTAGTTGGAGTTCTAACTGGGCACAATCTGCTCAACTGCCACAAAATTTTGATGGGACTCCATGAAAATGGTCTGTGTGATGCCTGTGGCATTGAACTACAGACATTTTTGAACTACTTAGGCCACTGCCTGGCTCTGACCAGTAAAAGAATAAAAAATCTTGGGGACTCCTTTATGGATCCTGAGAAGCCTAGAACACAGTGTTTCTAACCTAGTGTCCTTCATCTGAGGGACACTAAGGCTTGAATAAAGACCAGTGTCTTTTCGGGGACAGCAATGGGTCCACTTAAGAGACCCTTGCTCATATGGGTTTTTTATTCATTCCCACATACCATAAACCATCAGACCCTGTTGGCTGGTAGGACTCTCGAGTCAGCTGAGTATCTGCAAGCCAAACAGGCAGAAGGCTTGGCTGTTGCTAAGGCAAAAGCTTGGATGTGATAGGGTTCAGTCTCAATCGGCTCTTTGATAAGATTCTGACAAAGCATGCAGCGACAGAGGCAAGGAAAACAGCACTTCACCAACTCTGTGTTCAGTGAAGGCAAGGTGAAGTTGACCTCAACCAGTGATGTTGTCAGGAGGAAGAAGCAATACTTCTCAGACCTTCTCAATCCCACCGGCAAGTCTTCTATGGAGGAAGCAGAGTCTGAGGACTTCAGAGTTGGTCTGTCCATAACTTGGGCTGAGGTAATGAGGTAGTTAAAAGCTCCATGTTGGCAGGTCTCTGGGGTTGGAGGAGATCCGCTCTGATTTCCTCAAGTCTCTGGATGTTGTGGGGCTGTCTTGGTTGACACGACTTTGCAACATTGTGTGGACATTGGGGCAGTGCTACTGGATTGGCAGACTTGGGGGGGGGGTCCTCTCTTCAAATAAGGGGACCAAAGGGTGTTCCAATTATGGAGGCATCCGTTTCCTTAGCCTCCAGATAAGGTCTTTTCAATGGGTGCTGGAGAAGACAGTCTGACAGTCCAACCTCAGATTCAGTAGGAACAATGAKGATTCCATCCTGGCTGTGGAACACTGGACCATCTCAAAACCCTAACTAGGGTCCTCGAGGTGTCATGGGAGTTTTTCCATCCATTTACATGTGTTTTGTCAACGTAGAGAAGGACTTTGTCTGTGTTACTCTAGGTACACTGTGGGGGGTGCTCTATGAGTATGGGATTGTGGGTTCATTGATAGAGACCATTCATTCCCTATAAAAGTGGTGTCAAAGTTTGGTACATTGCCAGCAGTAAGTCAGAACCCRTCAGGGTGGGAATTGGACTCCAGGGCTGCCCATCATCCCCGATTCTGTTCACAACTTTTATAGACAAAATTTCTCAGTGCAGCCAAAAGGTGGAGGGAGTCTAGTTCGGTGGTCTCACGGTTCCATCTGTTATTTGCAGATGATGTGGTTTTGTTGGTGTCATCAAACTATGATCTTCAGCTCTCACTGAGGGAATTTACAGCTTTCCAGAAATCATGAGGTTTTGATGAATTTGTAATTAAAGTATTCTGTTTTGGCTTTTCTAATTACAGAGGTACACTTGTTGTCAGAAAGCAAGCCAGGAACTTCCGGGTGAGCAAGCATGATGGCGACAGCTTAACTAGGTGGYTCCCCGACAAATTTTAAAAATCACAGGTTTTGTGCAAATGCGGGATATAAAATAAACTTAAAAWTAAGTTGAAATGCTGAAGTCTAAATCAAAGAGCACTCTGCTGTCTTGACAGTCAATGAGAGAAGAACAAACATATGAAGAAGGCACGGCTAACCTCTCGGACTMGGACGCATCACTAGCAGCTAACGATATAGATAACGTGACAGCTAATCTACAAACTATTCTCCAAGAAATAAAAGAATCACGTCGAGAAAATGATGAGGGCTTCCGAGAGGTTAAAGAGGAAATAAAGAACATAAACGGAAGATTGGACGAAGCAGAAACACGCATCTTGGAAGTGGAGAACAGGATTCAGCAGCTTGAAGAGGCGGCTATGAAGCTAAGTAAAGTGCAGGATGAGTTCGAAACAAAGCTGGTGAAACTTGAGGGGAGATCGAGATGAGAAAACTTATGACTCCATGGCATTGCTGAGGGCTCTGAGGATAGTTCACCATCTATCTCAGTCTTCATAGAGAATTTACTCAGAGATAAACTGAACACACAGCATCACTCAACCTGAATATTGAAAAAGCTCATCGCTCTCTGGGACCCAGAGCTCCACCTGAAGCCCCCCAATGTTATATTAGTCAAGTTCGCCACATCTAAAGTCAAAGACAAAAGACTAAAACAAGCCTGGCAAGAGAAAGGCTTCATGCTGAGAGGGAAAAAGTCATAGTGGATCACGACTATGCTCCARACGTGTTAAAACAGTGACACGAGTATCTTGAAGTGAAACGGGTCCTCAGAGAAAATAAGATCAAATTCCAAACCCCTTTACCAGCCAAGTTGAGGGTATTCTATGAAAACAACACAAGTGTCTACAACTCTGCAGCTGAAGCAACAAAAGACATGGTGGATTGAGGCTTCCAAATCACCATCATCCAGCCAACCACGACGTGGGTCGACAAGATCAAGAGAACGATGTGGACCAAGATGGGAAAGAATGAAAGAAAGAAAGCCAGTTCCTACAATCACCTGAACATCTGACAAGAGACAAAGCTTTGTGTCTTGTCCAACAATAAAATGATTTGCCCTGAAAACCAAGAGTTACACCTATCTCTATCAAAATTCTGGATTGGTTTCAGATGAAGACAGTTTTATTACCAGTTATTTTCTTTACTTTTATAAAGACTGCTGAACTTCAATAACTTTATTCAAACTTTTTACCCTCTTTGATGCTCAGCTGCAGGATCAGGAGTTGGAGGATCTGTGGTTCTGGGTGAACCATGAGAGTCTTCGGTCATCTTGTCTTCCTCTTCATTCTGAAAGAGATTCTCCATAAATACATTTTTCTAATTTCTCCACGAGTACAGATTAAACTTTTAGAGATTTGTAGCTTCTGATTTTAAAGATCTGAGGATTCAAGTCCTCCTTAAAACTTCTTCAACATCAGATTTAGCTTCAAACATTTAAAGTGGGTTTTATTAGAACCTGGTGTCCAAATGGAGACAGAGGAACAGAAAAGAGTCTTAAAACTGATCAAATATCTAAATCTGATCCCTCC